ATCCCTTCAGGATAGGAGAGCAAGAACTTGGGGACTAGACAATGAAGAGAGAGCAAGGAGAAGAGCCAGGAAACACAACAGAGGCAAGCCATACAGTTATATGTATGAGATGGGTAAGGCAGTGATCCTGAGAATCTTCAGAAGATTTTTGAATCTCGCAGTTAATTGGAAGGATTCTCACTCTAACTATATATACTGACACCTGTGAACTAAGCAACTGCACTGAAGATGGAAATTTGTAATGGTAGGTTCATGCTTGGAGTGCCTGTCATTCTGGTCTTCTGATTATGTGCTGCTTGTCATGACACACTGGTTGCTGCCATGCTGTCTCTTGGGTAGATGTTTGTTTAAAAAGGAAGGAGGTGGTGAATGAAGGCAGGAGACAGGAAAAGGAGTGTTTCAGGACTGTCTTGCAACAATGTTGTATATGGTTAGATTTCTGGACGTATGTGTAAACATATCTGTCTTAATTCTTATTTTTAAAAAATATTTTAATTTTTTTGTCATATTCTGTAGGGACTTAAAGTTTAACATATCAATACTTGATGAAAAATACCTATTCTATGTTTTGCCTAAGATGCTTGATATTCAGATAGATAGTGAGGTTAAGCTCAACAGCCTAGGTTGTATGGTAATAACAACTTAAGGGTTAACAACTTAAGTTTGCAGACCAAAAATTAGAGAAAATGGAGGGCCACAAGGAAAGCCAACATTTTGGCCCTTGTCTTCCAAGGTCAGTTAAGACTCAGGACATATGAGAACTTGTACTGTAACATCATGTATCTCAGTTGTGTCTCAAATTTTCTGATCAAGGAGATTATAGGGCCAAAGAGGAAAGTGATTGATATGTAGAGTGTGCCTAAGGAGAGTCACATGGGGAGAAAACATTCTCTCAGGCTTTCACAGAGAGCACATTGGCCAAGCAATGGCCGTGACTCATCCACATGGCTGACACTGACAAAGGATCTACAAACTGAGGTACAGGGTTTCAGGATAAATCTTGCACAACTACTTACTGTGCCTATTTTCTTTCTCTTCAGAAACTCAGTCAACCTACCCTTTTTAAGCTAATCATGGTCAGCTTATTTTAGTCTTTATTATATGCCTGTATGAGATTCACAGGAAATCTGTTTGGCTGTATTTGCTTTTGAGAATTTACACCATTACCATCTACTGCTCCTAGCTCTCGCATTTGGAAACTAGGATGGAGATGTGGAGAGAAAAATGTAAAGGAATGACATCCTTCACGAGATCAAATGAGTTCTTGAAGATTGGGAAAGATGAATTTTTTTTTTAAGTTCATGTATTTAGTACAGGGTCTTACACAGATGGGCTGGTACGGCATGTGGTGCTGGGGATCTTGGTCCCTGTGTGTGTCTAAGCAGGTGCTTAGTCCACTGAGCTATCTCCCCGCCCCCAAGATAAATGTTTTTGAAGGCAAATACCTGGGTATAAAGAAGCATCTGAACAGGCACACTGGCTTTTCCTTTTTGAGGTGCTGAGGATAGAACCCGGGGCCTTGCACATAGTAAGCCTGTGAAGCACCACTGGGCTGCATGTGTTGCTGCAGCTCTGTGAACCTTTGTCCTGCTGGAGTCCTCTCATAATTACCATGGTCACCACTACGCTGGCTTCCAGGAATATACACTTCTTTCAAAGTCCTAACTCTTGGTTGTTTATTCTTTCTATACAGCCAGGCAAGACTGTTTTGTTTGTTGTTTTTGTGGTTTCAGACAAGGTCTCACTGTGCAGTTCAGGTTGGCCTTGAACTCTGTGTATACTAGGCTGGCCTCAGACTTGCAGCAATCATCCTGGCTCAGCCTCCTGATCACTGGGATTACAAGTATGCACCACCACACCTAGCTCAGGCAGGATTTTTTAAGAAGGCATTACCAGGAGGAACCAATGATTGTCCCTGACCAGAGAAATTATGGCTAGTCTTTCTTATGTTCTCTACTCATTTACATACTCTTTTTGGTAGAACTTTTCTTGTGTGTGTGGTACTGGGGATTGAACTTGGGACCTTACACTTGCCAGGCAGGCAGTTATGCTGCTGAGCCATCTCCCTGGCTACATATTACTCTTATATTAAAACCCGAAACTCACAAAATTCATTTTTAAAAATTATTTATTTATTTATTTATTTATTTATTTATTTATTTATTTATTTGGGGGAACCAGGGATTGAACTCAGGTCCATGTGCTTGCCAGGGAAGCACTTATTCCACTGAGCCATCTCCCCAGCCCTGAGACTCACAAAATTCAAAAACAAAACAAGGTTTTAACTTCCTATCTACACAGTGAAATCTTCTTCCAAAGCTCCTGCTTCCCATCCATTCTAAGGCCCTGATAAAACACCCTGGTTTTTCACTTTAAAGCATTGTTCCTCTTGATCCGTGTGGAGAAATCATGAGTGGGGGGAAACCATTACTCATTGGGAAGTAAATAATCTAATCCAATCCTTAGGTTGGTATCAGCACATAAATGATCCAGGTACAGATCACATCCTTACTATCCTACTCTTACCAAGTTTGTTTCCAAGAGCAGGGGCAAAAGGTTGTTTTTCCTGGGACCAGATTAAATATGAGGTTAAAGGGGTGTCTCAGTCTGTTTTGTGTTGCTATGACAAAGCCCCTTGAGACGAATTTATGATGAACGGAAATTTATTCCTTACAGTTCTGGGTGCTGGGAAGCCCAAGATCACTGTGCCAGCATACACTCAGGGCCTTACTGCTGTGTCCTCACAGGCTGGAAGGCAGAAGGGCTCCAAGGCTGAACTCACTACTTCAAGTGCTTTCATAAGGAAACCTAATCCCATTTATGAGGGCCAAGCCTCGTTGATTTATTCACATCCTGAAAAACCCCACCTTTCAATACGACCATCACGGGGAAGTAGTCCAACATGAATTTTGGGTGGGACACCCTCATTTGAATCACAGGAAGGAGGCTGTCCAGAGGACATAGAGCTACAACCTGGGCCAGTGAGGTGGGATGGAAGAACCTGACCACAGCATCAGGTTTAAGATCTTTTATGACTGCCTCAATAAGATGCACTTTAAAAGCAATTGGATGGCAGAACATTAACAAAGATGACAATATAAATGTTTGGGCTGTACTATTAACAGTCACTTTGGGCCAACCAGATAGCTCAGTGGATTAAAGCACCTGCAAGCAGGTACAGGGGCTGAGGGTTCCATCCCCAGGCCTGCCATGCTGGCCCCGCCCCTGGGGCGCACTGAGGCAGCAATTGAGACTGGGTGTGGTGTGCCCCTGTAATCCCAGCTCTTGGGAGGCTGTAAACAGGAGAATCACTACGAGTCCGACCTAGTAGTGAGACCCTGAACATCCTGTAGACCTTTCCCTAAAAAAAAAAAAAAAAGTCACTTTATATGCTTACCTTTTCTACTTATAATGGACGTCTATTAATTATGCATTATTTAGTTACAAAACTACATGGGTCATATGTTCAACATGCACAGCTTTTTGTTCATGCGATATAGAAATAATCTTCTTACATAGTTTGTTGGCTCTAACTGCAAGAAAAAAAACTAGAACATGAGAGTCACTCTTATTTACTCAGGCCTTAGCAGTTTCTCTTTCTTCTTTATTGGATCAGATCTATGACAGTACTTCAAATGTTAAACCAATTAATTTATAAGTGAAAAGCTATTTTTATGTATTTTTTGGTGCCAGGGATCAAACTCGGGACCTTCATCTTGCCAGACAGGCATTTATGCTGATGAGTTATATCCCTGGCTCTAAAAAGCTTATTTATTTATTTATTTATTTATTTATTTATTTATTTATTTGGTACAGGATTTATCTACGAAGCTCAGACTCCTAGTGATCCTCCTGTTTTCAGCCTTCCCAGAACTGGGATTACAGGTGCGTGTACCATCATACCCAGTCCCCTGAAAAGCTATCTTGAAGGAATAATTGAAGTAGAATTATTCACATAAAATGCAGAAAGTTTTTGAAGAGAAAAAGTTGTAGATTTCTTCTTAAATTTGCTGTCTTTTATCTCCTCTGATTATGACCAAAATTTTAAAAGTATTGTTGCTGTCCCATATAGTAGTGGTTTGTGTTATTACTTCATAACTTTTGCTCCCTTCTTCCCAGATTATTTTGATTTCCCCAAGGGCGTTTGGAATTATGAAGAAATTTCCACACCCTCAACTTCACATTTTGGAGTCCAATTTACCTTTTTGTCTTCCTATGTCCCCAAACCCTTCTTTTTTGTGAAGCTGGTAACCAAACCCAGGGCCTTCTGCACTGAGCTCAAATCTTCGTTTTACGACAGGATCTCTTTAAGTCAATAAACTGCCTGGTTGGGTTTCAACTTGGGATACTCCAGTTTGCAGCCTCCAAAGTGCTGGGATTACAGGCACCACAACTATGCCTGACTAGTTCATTCTTTTGGACTCTTTTTCTATTTACTTCTTGGTGAGCTTGAGACAGTTTTTTCTTTTCTTTTTTTTAAGAGTATTTCATTTTGATTTGTGCATTAATCAGTTTTCCTGTCAGTGGGACGCAAAACCCAACACGCCTTAAAGGAGATTATTTTGTTTCATGATCAGAGGATTTGTTTATGGCTGGGGGCTCCAAGGCAGAAGTGCACATGGGAAGGGCCTGGTAAAAGCTTCCTTCCTGGTAGTACGAAGCTTTTTTTCCCCCATAGCAGTCAGGAAGCAGGGTTAAATATGAACCGGCTCAACTGGTTTTTCTTTTTTTTTTTGGTTTGTTTTTTGATACTGTCAGGGATTGAACTCAGGATCTTGTGCTTGCCAGGCATGCGCTTATGCCACTGAGCTATATCCCCACACAGGTAATTTTTTCTTGCTACCAACCAGGCATGACTACAACAACAAAGATACATTTAACTCCCATTATACATGAAGTTAACAGTGATATGAGTTACTGCCTAAATATTTTCTAAAATATCTGAAAAACTCAAGAAAAAATTGGAGACTGCCTATACATAAGAGGTAGAAAATTTGTGTTTATTAGCACGTTCAAGGTAGTCAAGATTTTAACGAACATCTTAATCCTCACAACAACCCTGTGAGGTAGGTTTGTCATTGTTTTGTGATTAATATTCCAAATAAAGTGCAATTCTTAAAAGAATAAATCTGTGTTAGGAATAACTTACTAATGATATTAATAATTTGCTAATTATACCACTTATATATATTCTAGTATTTGAGTTCTTATATATTTTGATTCATGCAGTAATATGTTATGGGTTAAGTTTACTGTGAACCAAGTCCTAGTTTTTACACTTAGGAGGGACTATTTAAATAAATTCTAGGATAAGTTTTTTTTTTTTTCTGTAAAATAAATCATATTTATCTTCGGTATAAAAGTACTTCTCGTAGTATTTACTCAGTGAGGAATTCTCAGCAATGTTTCATCCACATTTGTCGGTTCTTAGAGAAAGTTATCTCAACACGGCACCAAGGCAAATGTGAGATTTAATTTACTGAATGAAACCTTAGCAATTTGGTATACGGCAGTGAACTGAGTAGTCACACAGACATCTTCAGGTATATTGCACCTAATCTCAACCACAAACCTAAAGCAGATTGTGTTGAATGTAAACACTAAAATGAACAGGGATAAGCTCTGAAAAGTATTTTCCCTTGAGAATCTTCATTATTTTCCTTCAGAAAGGAAGACCAATCTTTATAAAAAATATTCTGGCATCTATAAAATTCTAGTGATTTATATTGCAAGTCAAAGCTTTATGGTACCAATTACTATCTACAAGAGAGCCAGCAAAATCTTACTTTTTCCTCTGTGGCAAAATAAAACCTCACTAGGTGAAGAGATACTGGGCTGGAGATGAGTACAGTAGTAGGCCACTTATAAGTTTGAAGGACATTTGTGTTAGCCCAACACTAGGAAGCATCCAGTTGCATATTAGTTTTTACAGTTGCTTTTTCTGTAAAATCATTTTTTATTGGAGAATTTCCATTACATTTAACTGTGAAACTAATATTTAGGGTACTTATATAATTTATTTTGAACAATAACTTTAGGGTTGGAAGCTTACTTAACACTTGGAAATCCACCAGCAGGTTTACAGTATTTCAGCAAGTAGTTACAGTAATTCACCACTATAAAGAAATCATGTAAGCCCAGAAAAAAATTCTCAAATGACTATTTTTAAAAATTGCTGCAAAGAAATTAGGCAAAGCAATGGGTAAAATTAGGTCCTCCATAAACTGTACATTCAAATCCATACTAAATCCCAATAGTGCACTTTGGATTACAGTTGAGGTAGGGCAAAGAGTATAGTCAAATATATCTTGAACTTTTAAATTTATGTAAATTAAAATACTGACTTTTACCCAGGTTTTACTTGGATATCCAAAAAGAACAATTTATAATTCAAGTGACAAAGTATTTTCTTACATTTCTTTAGATTTAAGGTTAGAATTGTAAAAACTTTTGCAGTACATATAAATAAAAAATACAAAGGCTACAGATACATTGTATTCCAACATAAAATATGCTTGTATAAAAATAACCCAGGAAATATAAAAAAGAAATACAAATTTTTGCATAGATCTTCTATATAAAACATTTACCTGGAGCAGAACACTGGGAAGTACATCTCTGAAACTAGTATAGTTGAACTATTTCCTTGGATACCAAGTATACACGACATAAAAGCCCTTCATCTTGCTGGGGCACGGGCAGGCGGGAAAACAACTGAATTTAGCATCAGTCTATATTTATTTCTCTGTTGCTCGAATATAAACCAGTGATGACAAAAGGAGAAATTCTGGGGGTTTATTTAACAAAATTAAATTCACATTTCTGAGGCCATCATAGTGCATCCAGTGCCCGTCCATCTGGAAAGCTGCGGAATAATGGTGCTCCTCTTTGTTAAATAACGTGGCACCTTCCAACAAGTATCTGCAAGTTAGACGAGAGTGGCAGGCAAGTGTAGTACCTTATTTTAAGAAATATCACTCTTTCAATTCTGAACTAAAATAAGACTGCATTGTTTCCTGAAAAAGATATCCATCCATATAAACAATATACTGTAAGTTTTAAACAAAGTATTTTAAAATTGATACAATTTAGAAGTTAAAACAGATAAACTCATAGTCTGTAAACTGTTAGAGGCAAAAGTTAGAAGAACCCTCTTCTTTTTGTTTTTGGTGCTGAGGACTGAATTCAGGGCTTCCAGCTTGCTAGGCAAGTGTTCTACCATGAGCCAAATCCCCAGTCTCTGTGTTTTCTTCTTTTTTTGTTTTTTGAGACACTATGCAGTTCAGGATGGCTCTGAACTAAGTATGTAGCTCAGGCTGGCCTCAATATTGTAGTGATCCATCTGCCTCAGCCTCCCGAGTGCAGGGATTACAGGTGTGTGCCACCATGCCTGGCTAGCTTCCAAGTAGAAACTGTCACCTCTATTTTATAGATAAGAAAACTGAACTGGGCAATAGTGGCATCGACTGTAATCCCAGCACTCCAGTAGGTTGAGGCAGATGCAGCTCATTTAAGAGGCCCTTGACTGAATCCCCAGTACTGCCAACAAACAAAAAGAAAACCCTCATGTATGCACTTGTTAAATTACTCACCCTATATAGCTCGTGAAGGATGGGATGGGATTTGAACTCAAGTCTGTCTGTTCGATGTCACTATGCACTGCTAGTGACTTTGCCCTTAAGGTTTTTTTTTTTTTTTTTTTTTATGCCAGGGATTGAACCCTGGACCCGCACTTATGCCACTGAGCTACCTCCCCAGCCCACTTCTCCTTTAATAGATTCTAATCTTATTTGGAATATATAAATTTAGAAATAGCTAAGAGTTTTTAAAGCAGTATCTTAATGGCTAATCAAAATTGTGATAAACTATTTTTTCCTAGTTTTTTTTTTTAAACTAGTTTTTTTTTGAAACATGTAAACCAAAAAAAACACCTACTTGTGATCAGATAAATCCAAGTAATAGGGTACATATGCCAGATCTTCAGATTTCCAATGCTGCATATTTAAGACAACAAAAGGAGGTGCTCCGTGGCAGAAGACTCGTTGGGAAAATTCTCTTAAGCCACCACACCTAGAATGGAGAACGGGCGTGAACATTATTATACTTGGGATTAAGCTGCTCTTTCGAGTTATGTATGACTTTAATTTTCTAGTAAGCATTATTATCTATTAGAGGTATGGGTAATGGTATGGCCTTGGACGTTTATGTCTATGCTAGAAGTGATTCCTTAAAAACCTGGAAAAGCTAGCTAAGTGTTTTAGGGACTATGAAAATGTGAGTCTGCTGAACTGTTATAAAGGCTTTCTCTCTCTCGCTCTCTCTCACAGAAATGAAAACCACAATACAAATGCTATATAGTAAAATTTCAATTAACTGGAATGCTCAGGGCATTAGTCTTCAGTCAACAAACATTGCTGACTATGTTAACCAAAAAAAAATTTTCAATGTTATTGCTAAAATATATTAGTTCAGTTTTTAGACTTAATAATTAAGTGACCATGTTTTTGTCTTTCTTTGTGGTTAAATAACTATAAGATCATTCTTCTAAATATTAATTCTCATTGTACAATATCGTAGACACATAAATTGCTAACTGATTAGGATCAATGTGTTTTGCTCCTCTAGATGTTTCTTTCTGTGTTAGACTTTTTGGTTGAAATTAATCCTTCTCCTAAATAGGGAACACAGGGGAAAAGAATCCAGCTGAGGGCTGTGATGAGTTAGGTCCTGGTTAATGAGGGTTTTAGTATACCTACTAAGCAAGGGAGAAAAAAGAAAAGGTATTTGTTTTGTATTTATGAATTAGCTGTCACAGCATATTTTCTAGAGATATCTGAAAATGAAAATACAACATAAGATGGCAGAATAATTCAGAAAGTGCTAGGCTTCCCAAATACGGATCTGTTGGTTTCCTTAAAAACAAAATAGAAGTACTTTCATCTTAAATGTCTGCTGTTTGCTCACCCATGCTCTTCACATAATTCAATCTTGGAGCAGAATAACTCATCCACAGCCAGTCGTATCAAATTTCCATGTGGGATTTCTTGGGGAGGACTAAAAGAATTGTAAAATGCATGTAAGAACTGCCTCGACATCTTAGAGGTCAACGCATTATTATAGTAATAAAGTCTACGGGTCAATTCATTATCAGCAGAACCAAGTACACCAATACAATCTCTATACTTCTTCTAAATAGAATAAAAATAATTAGAACTAATATTGATATATAAAATTTTCCAAGAAACATTAAAGTTTTCATGAAGTGATCCTGAAATGTGCAGTTGTTGCTACTTTACTTAAAAAAAAAAAAAAAAATGCCTCAACTGAAGCAGTGCTGTTTGGTGAGCAGAAACTAGGACCCAAAGCCAGGCATAGCGGTGCATGCCTATAATCCCAGCACTCAGGAGGCAGGAGGAGTGCCCTGAGCTTGAGGCCAGCCTGGGCTACACAGCAAGGGCTTGTTTTGGGGAGAAAAAAAAGTAACTGAAAAACAGAAAAAAACACTGTTAAACTCAGATGCAGATGTTTTATTCATTTATTTATTTAAACTCTGGGGTTTTTTTTTGCGGAGCCGGGGATTGAACTCAGACCCTTGAGCTTGCTGGGGAAGCGTTTATTCTACTGAGCAATCTCCCCGGCCCCGGCAGATGCTTTAAATACATTTTTTTTTTTTTTTTTTTTAAAGGGAGAAGCTTAAAAAGTTGAGTATGGTAAAGTATTAAAAGAAGTATGAAATGCTAACATAAAATTATAAAACTGTTATTAGTGTTAAAGCAGGGCTGGGGAGGTTTGAACACTTGCTGGTAAGTACAAGGATACAGATTCCTGATGCTGCATGCCATGCTGGCCCTGAGACTGGGCACAGTGGTGTATGCCTGTAATCTCAGCACTGGGGAGGCTGAGACATGAGTCTGAACTGCATAGTGAGACTATCAAATAAAGAAAGAAAAAGCAGTTACAGATTAAAAGTCTATATTTTTCTTACTTTTTGTGGTGCTGGAGACAGAGCTGCAGGTTTCATATATGTGACTACTACCGAGTCACATCCCCAGCCAAGACACTGGTATGTATGTATGTATGTATGTATGTATGTATTTGGAGACAGGGTTTCACTATGCAGTTCAGTCTGGCCTTGAACTCACTTTGTAACCCAGACTGGTCTCAAACTCATGTGATCCTCCTGCTTCAGCTTCCTGAGTGCTGGGATTATACCTGTGAGATATTAGTTTAAAAAAAAAAAAAAAACCAACACAAGGTAATTTATGAAACACTTTTTAGTCTATCATGATACAAAGTAAAAAAAAAACCTTCCTCTGGTAGATTTTAAAAATTAACACCATCATATTTGTAATACAGGGAAACAATGTATATTTCAGAAAAATGAGTGTGACAAATTTATTAGGGGGTGTACAGTCCCCCAAAGGAACATGCTATTAGACTTTTTCTGGACCATGGAAACAAATACCCTCTAACAACATGTTTGGGCCGGTATTTCCTCCACTGGCAATCACTCCTTTTCCAATTCATGTCCCCTGGAGGCTTTAACAGTGCCCGACACGGGGCTGGAGAGATGGCTCAGTGGTCTAAAGCACCTACTTG